GGCCCCAGCGAGGGCGAGAGCGCGGGAAGCACGATTAAAAGCCCGGAGTAGGGCGAGCACACGGGTGGAGGCCCAAGGCAGGCCGACGCGTGCAACGACCCTGAGAAGGGTCAGGGGGCCAGGCATGGCTACAGACCACCTGAGCCCCGAGTGTGGTTTGGCACGGGACAGGCCCCAGAGGGGGCGTAGCGTGAGAAGTGCGGGACGAGCCCCAGAGAAGGGCAAGTGTGCGAGAAGCATGGACATAAGCCCCAGAGAGGGCGAGGGCCCCAGAGAAGGGCGAGGGCGTGAGAAGTGCAGGACGAGCCCCAGAGAAGGGCGAGGGGCGAGAACGGCGAGGGGCAAGAAGGGCGAGGGGCAAGCCCCAGAGAAGGGCGAAGGGCAAGAAGGGCGAGGGGCAAGCCCCAGAGAAGGGCGAAGGGCAAGAAGGGCGGGACGAGCCCCAGAGAAGGGCGAGGGCGCAAGAAGCGCGGGACATAGGGCCCAGAGAGGGCGAGAGCGTGGGAAGCGCAATGACAAGCCCGGAGTAGGGCGAGCGCACGGGTGGAGGCCTGAGGTGGGCCAGCGCGTGCGAGCAGAGCCCAAAGAAGGGCGAACAGACACGTAAGAGCGCATGAGCAGGAGCCCGGAGAGGGTGGGGTGCGCGGGTAAAGGCCTGGAGTAGGGCAAGCGTGTGGGTGGAGGCCCGAGGCGGGCCGACACGTACAATAGGGCCTGAAAAAGGGCAAACCCATGAGTAGGCCCCAGAGAGGGGCAAGGGCTAATGAACACAGGGGCGCTAGAGCAAGCGAAGGCACGTATATCGGAGAGGCCCCAGTGAGGGCGTGTATACTGGAGACACGAGAACGTCTGGAACAGCTGCAAGGCTTGGGGCGTGCTAAAGGGGAGGTAGGAGGCACGCACAGCCCATAAGGCTGGGATGCACCAGGTCACCCATAGAAATTAGGAGACCAAAGGCAGCCTCCCATATTAAACTATATAAGAGCAAAGACGTGGCGGGCGAGAATCTGAAGGTGCTGGGTCTCCTAATTTGGCATGGCAGGGGGCGCTAGCGGGCTCATGGCCGCTCGTAGAGCTCACCCCGTGACAGTGGGGTATCTAATATTCAGGGTTTTCTTATATTAAAGTAAATACAGTACTTCCTTGCCAAAAGGTATCATTGCAAAGGAGAGAAATTCACACTTGCTAATAAATGAGCCAAAGGGCAAATTGAACAAATGTCTTTGTGTTAGCAGGTGCCATCTCTACCCAGGAGACATTTATGGTAAGTAGGCTCTGATCCTTTTTGGGAGATAAACAATTTATCTGTGGCTGATGATCTTCCAAAGACGAAGCTTTTGAAGAATATGAAAAGGCTCATGGTTTCATCCCAATGCATACCGTGCAGAAAGAAATCGAAGTTATTTTCCAAAACTGAGCATTTCTTCTAGGGCTTGCCTACATACATGTTTGCTCTACAGAAAATCTGTATTTTACATCAATATCAAAAAAAGAAAAAAAAGTGGCAGTTTATGCATACTTGAAGTGGGGCAAGTTCCCCAATTCAGTTTCACACTTGGCTATATCTACAATAAAAGCTTTGATCAGTATAGCTAAATTGGTATATACATATATACTGGTTCCCAAATCTCCAAAGCAGATAAGCACAAAGGTATATTTTAGCTGCTCTTCTTGGATCTGGAGCATGCTCCGCCCCCCACCAACACCAATGTTTTACACAAAAGAAAGAATTAATGCTTTCTTGGTAGATACAGAGTGAAAAATAGCCTTGTTTACCAGTGACTCAAGTGTCCCGAGAGGTTTTGCAACTCTTCATTGATGAAGTTGTAACTAGGAGCATATCTTAATGGAAAGAAAGAACAAAGTTCTGTAGACTTGAATGAATGGGTATTTTTCGGAAAAGATGAAGCCTAAATGCTTCGGAGCTTTGAGGAAAGAACTACATTCTCTCTTCTTCCCCTTTTCTGGCTTTGTCAGATTTTTTGGTGCAGTTGTAAATTAAAGCTATCTACCCATCCATCAAAGGTTCATTTATGCTTCAATATCATGTTTTCTGATTCAACTCAGTCATTTTTTTAAATGAGACACCATAAACTAGTAAGGCTTAGGCCAGTGATTCTCAACTAGGGGCCCATGGCATCCTGAGGTGCCATGAAATATTTTCAAGGGTACTGCAAGATGCCACACAAAGTTCACATAGTTAGATTTACACATATGATTCACAAGATACAAGCAGAGAAAACACAAGATAAAAAGGTTGAGAACCAATGGCTTAGGCAAATCATAAAATGCAAAGCTTACTCTGTAAAACAAAAAACTTACTTTAGATTGACAGACAGGTCTTTCATATAACACAAAGTAAAAATAAAAAGTATAAACGAACAAATTACCTTGACTGCCAAGAAGTTGAGGCCACTTTCATTGGCCAAAGCTTTAGCTATCATTGTCTTTGAGCATCCAGGAGGTCCATAAAGCAGTACTCCTTTTGGTGGCTGAATCCCCATCCGGATGAAGGACTCAGGATGCTTAAATGGCCACTCTACTGCCTGTTTCAATTTCAGTTTGACATTATCTAGTCCCCCAATGTCTGACCAAGATACCTGTAAAAACAACAAAAAGTTTTTACTAAATCCACACCTTAGCACAGAACCAAATATTGTACAAAACTGTGGCATAAATCTCCTTTTTCAATAAGCCTTGTTCATAAAATTTTAAAAATATACATTAAATTTTTGAAGTTTTTTCAAATAAATACAAAACCACCCACAAATAATCAACAAAGCAAAAAAAAAATCAAAAAGAAAAACACTTCTAAATTAGTAAAGTAAAACTACATGAAGAAAAGGAGACATAAAATCCATACTGGACATCTACTTCAAATCCCAATAGCTAGCTGTACAAAAATACAACATAGTGTTAATTTTAGTACATAGCTGATGAAGACAGTAAGGCCATTAAAATATTCCCAGCATTTCAGTTCCTGGCTGTGTGGTATTCTATAAATATTACCACCCTTCCAGAAAAAAGTACCATATGAATTTAAGAGGTTACTATATACCATCTAACACACCAACACCAAAAAGCAAAAGAATTCAGTAGCATAAGAACAAGTGGCTAGCGTTTTTTGGCATGCTGCTCTGGTAGGCCAATCTTCCTAACTTGTCAATGACAACTTCTTTTTACCTGCCAGTCCCAATACTTATTTATAACATGCTATTTTACTGTGTACTATGAAGTACTGTGAAAGAATACTGTCATATATATTCAAGCAGTTCTACTGAGTCCTGACATGCTTAAGTGCATGAATTATTGGGATCTGCGTCACTCTATATCATAATTTACTCACTCCATCATAGATTCATCCTCTGGAAATTTAACTAGCAGTTATATAGAAAATAAGGTGAACATTAATTCACAAACAATTACACATTAAAGGAAGAGAGGCAGGATCAACACATGTATATCTATATGGAATTCCCTCCATTAAATGTCATGTTGCATATTAAAAAAGATGTGCTACTTTTTTCTTATATAGTTATAAAGCAAACTGAAAACTTTTTACATCCAAGAACTTTTTACATCTATGACATAATTTCTAATAGCATGCCAAAGGGTCTGCCTGTCTCTCCCTTTTGTCATCTTCAAGGGTTAAAAACATTAAGCAAGCAATTGAATCGCTGAACGTTGTCTTGAGGAATTCACCCCAGGTCTTCAAAGATAGGGAGCCATATTTTCAGAGTCATAAAATGATGATTCCACTCTAGAGATTCAGCTGTGCTTGGATGAGTAGTAGGCATGGGACTGCACTGTTACAAAAGCCTACTATAATACATCAGCCTTATTCCCAACTTTGAAAATCGTACTCCTCCAAAACTAAAATAATTAGACAGTCTCCTTCTATTACATGGCTTTACTGGTGCTTTCTGAACATTAGAAACTAAAAATGTGCCGATCACTTCTCAGTAAAGTAATTCAGCCTAAGAACAAGCATCAACAGGGTACTTAAGAGGAATAAAACACTTCAGAATTGGTGCTCAGTATAGTCAAATTCTAAAACAAATAAAACAATTGTAATAGCACTTTAGGTGTCTTGTTTTAACAGAAGGGAAATAACGCCAATCAAAACAAGCACAAAAGATCTATACATGTGGGACATAAACTCAAAATTGACCTGAGGTTTTAAGTTATTTGAAAAGTAAGCTGATGAGTTGCTGCCAGTGGAGGTAGTCACCCACACAAGGAAATTCTATGGGAAACTGTTGCTGGAGCTCTGGAAAAAGTTCTGTTTAAAATAGCTGATTTGTAGTGGTCACTTTTTCTACTTCTTGAATAAATAAATAAATACTTGAAATACTGAGGAAGCACACAAAAGCTCATGTAAAATTACCTAAGAATACAGATGAACTCGCTGTGGGGGAAGGTAAAAAAAAAGAGAGAGAAAAACAAATTCAATAAAACGTCAGAGCAGAAAGGACAGCATAAGGAAAAGCAAAGGAATCCAGTAGCAGGGGAATTAGTGGTTAGGGCCTTTGTACTGCCAAAGCAGCTTGCCAATTTTACTAATCTGTCAATGCCAATTTTTGCTACCTGACAGTGCCAACACTTATTTCCAAAGTGCTGTTTTAGAGAAATACTATGAAAGAGCACTTTTGATTTTATTCCATCAGAGAAACAAGTCTGAACGAACAAGGACTGACTGAATAGTTGTAAATGGGCTGCATATGGTTCTGCACAATGTTGCTTGGAATTTTGACATTGGGGAAGGGAAGAATCAAGAGTTTCTGAAAATACTGAATGAAATAAAAAAAAGTTATTTGTGAAACTTCCACACATGTAATTCAACAAAATAAGAAACCGCGATACATTTGCATGATGCGAAGACAAAGTCATAAAGCAGATCAACAAATGTATACATTTTCCATGTATAGAATCTATTTTTGTGTGGGGGGGATCATCTGGATTCAGATACTAATGTTTTGATAAAGACAAGAAAAATATCTTTCCTATATTTTCTTAATAATATAACTGAAAATGCTATGTTTTAAAAACTCATATACATTGCCCAAACTAAATATAAATCAACCTTAAAATAATAACAGCAGCATAATCATCCTAGGAAACATCAAGAGATATAAATTAGGCCTGTCTAAATTTACAGCCCCACATTATTTTATTATATCGATTCAGACCTGTAAAAAACAAAGTAATTGTTCCAGCAGTAAACACACTGTCTTTCTAGCCAGACACAGAAGATCTTGTCACAGAAAGAACATAGAGATGAATAAATTTTTACAATGAATTAAGTTATCAGGAAGCTACTAAAACTTTCAAAAGCAATAACAAAATTGGCTTTTTGGTAACCTGGTACAACCAAAAAAAGTGCAGGAAAAGAATGTATGGAAACTGTATTACCTCGAAATACATGAAAAAATTAGATTATAGCAAAAGTATAGAGTCAAATGATTAAGCAAGCTATTCCACTGCTACGTGCTATTTACACCAGCAAGATGAGTGTGTGTGAACAGAGATAAAAAAAAGACAGAGGTAAAGGGAAGCTTTCCAGAAAGATAGCTGCAATTCAGCTTCTATCCTAGAACATGCTGCCAAACGGAAAAGCCACTGCTCAATGCCTAAAAGCTACATTAGAAGGCATGATGCACTGAATTTTTAGCTAAATTTGTTTTGTCTGTAAGGCCAGATGAGAACACTATGAAACTATGACTATAAAACAACGTTTCAACTGCTATTTTTGCTATTGAAAATATTTTCTATTCTGAGTATATTTTTATTGAATTTGTTTTTTTCTTCTTTCTGTTGGGAATAAAAGTAGAACATAAGCCCAGCCCAATGATAAAACATGAATTAACTTAAATATATCATAAGAACATCTAGGAAAGAAAACACTAAATGTTTACATGTACAATTTTGAATAACTTTAAATACCTCTGTTAAACACAAAACATATTCAACACGTCAAAGAAATAACTAATGAATCAGTTGGATACTCTCTGTAAATTGTCATTGGATAAGAAAAGAAGTTTGGTTTCTAACAACATATGCAATGTTCTGTCACTTTATGAAATATTTGAAAAAACTAGCCACAGCCCTGGGCTCAGCGGTATAGTGATCACACTTTGCTTATGTAGGATTCCTTCATTACAGACCCAAATCTAACTCACCCGGTTTCATAGTTGTTAGGGGCTAGAAGGGACCTTATAGATCATTGCGTCCAGGCCCCTTGCACTTGGGCAGGAAAGACTGCTGTTCGTAGAGAGAAAATTGTGATGCAGAACAGTAACACCCCAGGGCTGTTAAGCAGCAGCAATGAAACAGTAAAGCAGACACTGCACCAAGGGAAATAAAGCTATGCATAATATGAATTGTAACTAATACCAACTATATACACTTTAATAAAGGACATTATAAAAAAGGAATTTACTGAAACTGAATACTAACCTTAAGACAGGCAGTTCATACTATGCATTAAATGTAAGCATGCTGCACCCAGCCAGAGTTGCTGGAGACATTCTGTTTCTGTGGGGTGAACACTTAAACAGACAGTGAGGTGGTACACTCAGTGTCCATCACGTTCATTGAAATGGTGAGGCAGCGTCTTGCCAGGGCCAAAAGATGTGGAAACTGGTCACAGAATCCCAGAACACACATAGGCATCTGGCACTCTGACAAGTCATGTAAACAGCATGTCCACGGTCATGCTCTTTCCCCGATCCTGCGATTGCTTTCCATAGCTGAGGGTCATAACTCAGCAAAAGACACCTGGTTGGGGTCCAAAATGTGAACAGCACTCAAGAAAGAAGCACCTGGTTGTATGAACTGCAGTAGCAATGACAGGTCACACCTGTAGTATAGCACTGGTTCAGCTTCACAACTATGGCCTGGAACAGGTCCCTTCTGTGCTGGTTTTCATGAGGACAGCTCAACAGTTCTTGCGACTCCCTGTCTTCAACCCAGCTTATCAAATCCATCAGCTTGTGTGCATGGCGGATCACAGCCTGCCAGACTTCAAACCATGTCAGGAGCTCTATAAACCCGGTGGCACTGTCAGCCACAAACATCACTTGATCGTGAATGGTGCCTTGCCCTAAGAGACTGCAAAGCTTGAGCATGCACTGTGTGCTGGGTGTGATTTCCAGCTTCTCACTCAAACTGCTGGTAGTGCTGCATATGCTTGGCATAGCAATGGGTCGCAATGAACCATGAATTTCACTGTGTAAGCACAGGCTCTGGTGGCAGCAGCACAGTGCCATGCGAGTCCCCATTTTCACTGACAATGGACTCCCTGTCCTGGAGCTTACATCTTGGACAGTGCTTGAAAGGTTTCTTGAAAGAAGACACCAGACTATCCACCTTGGGGAATTGCGTGTGCCAGATGTCACTTACTATGGACAGAATGTGCTCACTGTAGGGGACGTGAACAGTGTTGGGCAGCATTCCTTGGAACGCATCACAGAAAACCTTGCACATGTACATGGCATTGTCAAACAATGCTGAGATCTTGTTAAAGTCTACAACATAGCTGACAATTACCTTCACAATGGCTTGGGACAGCAGAAAAATTCACAGACGTGAGGTGGACCAG